TCAGCATCCTCTGACAGCTGTGGGCTCATGTAATGGACCACATCTGGACTGAAGGCTCCACCAGCGTGTTCCAGAGTCAGCTGGTAGATGAACAGGTCGAGGTGCTTTTATAATCCTAAATCCATTTTTTAAAATTCATATATATGAATGTTTCTGTCTTGCTGTTACTATACCTTATATTTGCAGTAATTACAGTATTTTAAAAGCAAAACATTGTTAATTGACTCCCACTCTGCGACAGCAGTTTGGATGTGGCTTTAACTGCCTGTTCCTTTGTTTTGATGTGTAACAACATTAATGGCACTTGAGAGCTGTGCTTGTGTTTCTACCAAGAGTGTGAACTGCTTTCATCAGAAGCTGTATTAATGTAGTTACTGTAAATTCATTTGTTTATTTTCCCCCACCTGAATATTAGTATTATTAAGGGTAACAATGTGAATGTTACGTTTTAAGTTTACAATCTAATGCAAGGACACAAGTTCTGACATATCAACCATTCATATGTAACAACAGATGTATTACCACAGAAGCCCATGCAGACAGTTTAATACAGCACTCAAAAAGCACAAACATTCACACCAGACTCAGAAAAGAGGTTGGTTGGGAGCACCTCTGCCACTGAGCTGCAATTTAAACTATGGAGCCTCCTTCCTGATTTCTTTTCTTTTCTTTTTTTTGTCACACTGAAATGTTTCAGATCATGAAACAAATTTAAACACTGGACAAAGATGACACAAATAAACACAAAAAGCAGTTGCTAAAATAAAGTGTTTGTTATTAAGCTAAGCTATTAACTTAAACCAATAACTGGTTGGGCCACCCTTAGCAGGAACATCTGTAATCAAGTCTTTGTGTTTCCTTGTGTTATTTTTGTCTAATATTAAAACTTGTTTGATGATCTTAGATATTTAATTGTGACAAACATACAAAAAAGCAGAAAGCAGACAAACACTTTTTCATACAACTGTAGATTTAGCACTGTCTGTGAAGCTTGATTTAGGAAAATAAGTGCTTGAAGTTTAAGAATATGTATAGCGACATCATGTCCTAGTACAGATCATTATGTAAATGGTAAATGGCCTGTATTTGTATAGCGCTTTACTTAGTCCCTAAGGACCCCAAAGCGCTTTACACAACCTGTCATCCACCCATTCATACACAAATTCACACACTGGTGATGGCAAGCTACATTGTAGCCACAGCTGCCCTGGGGCGCACTGACAGAGGCGAGGCTGCCAGACACTGGCGCCACCGGGCCCTCTGACC